ACGAACAGTTCCTGTTGTTGACGAGCCACGTTTAGTTCCATTTAACTTTCGGGAGATGGCGGTGCGCGTACTTCCGTTATCTTCCTAAAACTTTTTAAGTGAGATGTGTGCGTAGAATGGGAACAGATTAGTTCACCGTTTGAAGCTGCAGATGATCTGAACAATATTTACCTAAAATAAAACACGTCTTTCCAAAAGAAAGACCAACGTATTAAGGTTGGTTAAGGGAAAAGAAACCTTGTTTTAGAATGATAATCATATAGATTGTTAAAGCACGTGGCGCATATAATTATTACTTTGCTTCAAAAGATTAAAACCAGTGAGGCGGTTAGATTCACAAATCACGCAGGTGAAAGATACATATTGCAAGTGGAGTACAGGATTTCAAACGTGTTTATTTAATTATGATCTCAATCTTAAATCCTTGCTATAGTAAGAACAGTTATAAAGTGTTCCCCACTTTCTAAGATTGTAATATAACCCTGTTTCTATTTTTAAAACCACACGAGTGTTCAGCCAGTGTCAAATGTGTGTATGAGACCTCGGTCTGCAGCAATGAGAAGGTAACCCAACCACAGACGGACTGGACTTCGCTTGCAGCGTTTCGTTACTGCCCTCATTCTGATTCACGATCCAGAACAACAGACAGGAAAAATAAAACTACGGAACTCTCAAACATCAGCATTTTAACATCCTCCTTAGTCGCTTATAATGAATGTTCGAAAAAAAGATCGGAATGGATTCAGAGAATGCATTCTTACTTTCAAATAAGAATGTTCAGCTATCGGACTTTGATTTATGGCTGTTTAACAACGCTGTTTTATTTAGCGCAGGACTATGTAATGGTTAAACATGTGAATTTAGAAGTATGCGGGAAGGAAGCGGTCGTGGCTTGTTTGAAAGTAGGTACTACCATTATATATAGTTCGATTCGACCACGAAACACCTGCGCCGGCACAGTACAAATATATTGTGGTTTGGCAGGGGCTGTAATCGAAGCCAGAACCCTTTGAATACTAATATATTAAGTTAATCCGTCAGTGTAACAACCAGTCAGCTGAGTACGGGATTAAATTCAAATCCTAGAACATCATTCATCGTGTATGTCCCTCAGCGAAGTTGTAATGTCACGTAACTGCAGTGTAAGCATACGTCGTTGAACAGCATTGCATTCTTGTATGCATACATGTGACGTTTACTGTGGGATAAACAGATTTTAACTTAAAATCAACCCCGGCAAGTTTTCTTTAAGCTGTAACGAATGGCAGTGTGAGTGTCGAAAGCTTTCGAAGTGTACGTCATAGCGAGTAGATGACGGTATTGAAATAATTGTAACAGACACCTGATGTAGTGTGTTGCCACGTTGCTACGTAGAGACGAGAGGATGGGGGGAGATTCTGAACGCAGTGGCTGACTTTGACATTCAGAACAAACATACAACGCAGACACTTACTTTTATACAGGTCGCTGTACGTTTGTCTTTTTATGACAGATATCTCCGTAGACACTTACTTATATACAGGTCGCTGTATGTTTGTCTTTTTATGACAGATATCTCCGGATCAAAGTTCTATCTGTGTTTCTCGTGTTAAAAACACTTCGTTGCGCATGTTAGAATAATGTGTCCTGCGTTACACTAAACGTAAAAAATGTAAAGTAAAAATTATAATTGGAGGAACGGAAGAAAAAATAAAGAAACTAAGAAGATAAGAAAGAAATAAGGAAACGAACTGTTTAAAGAAAGCGAAAAATACTTATTATGCCTGTAATGAATTTAAATGGCGCTGTAAAGCAACGGTTTATCATTGTAACGTACCATCAACTCCTGTCCACGAGAATTCACTGTCCCAACAAGGGTCTTTGTGTGACAGATGTTTTTCCTTTCAACCCCCCTCTTCGTGTTGTTAAACTTAAAAATCTTTTTTGGAGCTCTTTGTGATGGAACGTCTTAATTTACTGTAACACGCGTAGTCCAGTAGTACAACTGGTGAAATAATGTACCGGAAGTTAAATTTTAATTAACTACAACGTCTTCAAGACATTTATGGAAGTATAACCTTGCTTGGCTTCTGGCCGATTTCCCTCCAGGGATCTATTGGATCGCAGGTTGCGTGGTTCCGAGAATCAGTTTTGACAAAGTGGGGGAAAAAATAAATCTGTTTTCCTTCCTGGGAATCGAACTGTCGTCATCCAGCACGTAATTAGTCGCTTTACTGAATGAATCATCCAGGATATCACTCTGCTACACGTACAGATATACGACCAGCGTCTCTAGTCTTAGTTGGTTTGGAAATTAGTCAAAGTGGTCTCGGAAAAAGGTCAAATGGCGGTATCTTGTGAACGGGGTAATTAACTTCTCTGTTCCAGGAGAGATGGGGATTTTCTTGGCCAAAAGACCGAGCGCTGAACTGAGTAGGATTTGATGTTTTCACGGCGGTGAGTTGGAAGATGGCTGTCTTCTGCATCTACGTATCATCAGGGCGATGAGTCATTGCCCTGATGATGGAGGCAGTATGACCTCTGAAACGTCGGTAAACTTCTACCAGACTACACGGCGCAGAAACCCAGAAGACAGCAATCTTTAGCGCTAAACTAAACTGCAAAATTTTTAAAAATAATTTCCTATCATTATATGAAGAGAATGAGAATGTTTAGGCTTTAGAAAGAACTGAAAAAAAAAATTGCTTCATAATTTATTTCATTCACCTGACATTATTATGGTTATTAAATAAAGGAGGATACAACGGACACCGTTACAAAAATAATCCAGTTGGGAAACAAGAGTGGATGGGTGGATAAGATTGAAATAAATGGTAGAAGAACAGTTTATGAAAGTCTTGGCTGTTTTGAAATCGTCCAGGATAATAAACATACAAAGTGACATCATCAGCAAAGATTGCACTAGAGAGGTTTTTATTTGAATTGTGCCATTCGCTTTGATTCCCTCCTGATTTATTGTTTAGAGCTCTGATTAATTTTGGCGGGTTCTGTCCATAACAAAGAAGAGTGAAAATTGTGGTCTACGTGACAGGTCGCAGTGTGAAGTCTAGGAAACAGAAAATGACCCAGTGTACGAACCAATCAGTTGTTTGTTACTGTCTGTACCCCCACATTTTTATATGCAGTTATGAATGATGATGATACACTTAAAGCTTCTAGTTGTGTGGAAGCGATGCGTACATTTGGCTAATAATTATTTAATTATTTTTTATTATGTATGTTATGTGCTGACTCAGTTGCCATGACGCCAGTTGCAGAATCAGCGCAAGAAGGAAAACAAGGAAGCAATAAGTACTTAACTAATACAGATGTTGAAAATGATGTTAACGGCGATAATAATGACAGATTTCAACAGAAGATCCTGATCTGGACACCTCATCCTGACTTGGGAGTTTTTGTAGTGTTTTTCCGCAGTTCCTTAGGGCAAAAGGGATAGAACCTTAAATTAGGTCGTGATCGCTTTCTCCCAAATTCTTTCCAATTCGCTATTCATGAGTCATCCTATTATTGGACGCTGTCCGTACAATCTGACCTGTAGATCGCGGTTACCTTGTACTGGAGATAAGGAATATTTTCAACATGAAGAATTATTTGACAACTTTGTGAACCGGGATGATTCAATCAGAAAAGTGACTGGCTACGGGCTGGGAGTCAGGGGTTCGATATCATTTGCAGGATATATATCTCTGTCACCACATCCAAAATGGCCCTTATGCCCACCCACGCTTTTACCAGTGGTTACCAGGGTCTTACACCTCAGGGGTAGAACACCCGGGACGTAAAGCTTACCGCTTACCTCCAGCTACTGTTGATATGAAGGATGGGAGGAGCTTTATCTACACGCCCCTTATACACCATAATATTGTGGTGCTTGGGCACAGGTTTTAAACTCTGTTATAATTTTTTTGATAACGGGAAAACGGTTTATAATTATGATGTGACTTAGGCGGGGGCCAGAAAGTAAGATATACGATCGTATAAATCCCCTTTTTCTTTTTAAAGCGAGTATGCAACCACGAAGATCGCCTATTAGAAGCGTTCCATCCGTCTATCTTCATGTACGTAAGAAACAAATCGATAAGGGATAAACCGATTACGATTAAAATTAGTATTACAAAGATTTACGGGAAAATGTCCAGTTATCCAAATTGTAATGTATTCAATCGATTTGTAAACTTTCCGATTGATTTGTTGTTTCATGTAAGAGGGGCATTGACGCTAGGTGCCCTCAGAACGTAGCGGTTTTTTGGCATCTGGCGGACATACCGACGTTCTGTCACGAACCACGCTGTGTTATCTAGTCGTAAACCTGGGCTGTATATGGTACGAAATGAGCGGGGAGTGAAGGCTGTTAGGTTATATGGTAATACCTGTTTATAACGGAATCTGAAGTAACCCGATTTTTCTTACAGCATTGGAAGTAACTTCTAGTTTGAAAGAATTGCATAAAATATATTTCGTGTGTCCATGAATTTATGACTGAACTAGAAACGATTAAATTATGACATGTAAACTGTGAAGTAAGATTTTTCTTTGTAGGTCTGTACATTTCAGTGGAACACCTATTAAAATCAATCCGTCCGTACACCTGAAATAACTTTAGAATGCTTGAACCGATTTTTATCAAGTCTGTTATTGGACAAATTAAAAGATGTTTAATCATTTCAATTTTAATTCAGATCAGTGTGAAAGGAAGCGGTCGTGAACTATTTTTACGTAACTCTCCCGGTATTTACTTGGCGGAACTACCAGGTCTTTGGGCTGAGAGTCAAACCCGGACTTCTCACTGTTGACCGCTACGCCGAAGGTGTGAAGTGGTCTCTAGGGGTGGGGGACACCTCACTTTGCCTCTCCACTATTGTACCCCTCTTTTTATGCCTGAGGTGTCTGTGTTATGTTCTATATTTAAATTGCAGAACAAAGCAAAATGAGCCGTGTTGTGTTGTGGAGCTGGTGTCTGATGACGTGCGTATGGTATTGGTTAGATAAGTAGAGCAAATGCAGTAGTCTGCCTGCCTGCTTGCCTGATCAATCTGCTGTGTGTGAATTGACTTCGTCTTGAGGAAAGCCACGGCCGAGAGGCTGTCGTGTCTTCGCCATTTGCAGTTTATCCGTTCTGCCGGTAGGTTGTACGGAGATGAGCGTCTGTTCTGTCACCAAAAACTGCTCTTCAGTGTGTTTGTAAGAAGACTGACGTGGAAGGATAGCGGAAGTAATTTAATTATTTCGAAGTGGATTTTGTATTGCCTAAAATATATTTTTGGGGCTTGTCACACTTATTAAGGTGAGTTTTGTATGCTGAATAACAATTCTTTTGGATACGAAGTGACAGGCAGCATACATCCGATGCGTTTCATAATTTCTGCTCTTCATCTGACAGGTGATAGGGCCGTCTCAGGTGTGGGTATTGACTGGAATCGTGGGTTTGAATCCCACTCGAGGCGATTTTATTGTGTGTGAGGGGGCCTTGCATCAGGTTGGTCCTTCATCCAACGAGTACTACCAAGTGTATAAAAGGATTCAAAATTTGGGAAGCAATTCTGGATTAGAACAAGCCACAAGACTTAATCCGTAAGTAAAAGGTCATCAAATATGCTTATTAGAGCGGTTAAATAAAGGAGAATGACACATGCCAGGACATGTAGTACTAAAGGGCGTGATAAAGTTGTAAACAATTTTAGACGGAAGCGCTGAAAATAAGAGACAAGGAAGACTTTGACGTAGTTGAGACAAATTTTAAATGGACACCAAAGGAACATTGACAAGCTAAGGATAGGGTCCGATGGCGGGTTCTTATCAACACGATAATAAACACTTAGGGATCCATAAAAGACGGGGAACTTCTTGGGTAGCTAAGCGACTATCAACTTTCCAAAAAAAGACTACACTAGTCACTTAATTAGTAGGAATGTTAACAAGTAAAGTTTCTTGCTATCTGTCTGCCAGGCAGTGAGCGTGTAGTGTGTTATCAGTGTTTATCTCCTTAACGCATAGTGGTAATTATATGTACCACTTGCTTTAACATTCAATAACTCGCCCAGTTCTCCCACTGAGTGCTGTTATTTTATAACCAGATGATCTTTGTAATTGATACGAGCTGTTTTATTTGCGGTAGGAACTAAATTTTCACGTATTATTTAGATGCGATTCGCTTTTAAAGGGTTAAAAAATGAGTGTAATTATTCTTTGAGTGGTCTGTTTGTTACCACGTACGTCGAGTTCCGTAATACGAATTTATCGATAAACTAAATAAACTATAAATAGCTTTTGTAAAATCTTGTACCTTGTAATGTAGTTCGTTGTTTTTTACATAACAGGAGTTTCACGATTTCTAGACATCACATTATATTATTAGGGCGATGAACGCAAGAGGGCTGAGATGAACGGTTTATGAAAATTGGAAATGCTGAAAAAGAAATGCACCCAGAATTATCGGTAGGGAAAACACGCACATAGGAGACAGGGGCATAGGTGGGACGATAATATTAAAATTTATCGTGGAGAAATGCGTTAAATAATTGTTAATTGATCAAGGGAGAACTTATAGAGTGAGGTTAATTAATACATTCTAAGGTTATGTAAAGATGCTATATCAACTATATAATTATTTACTGTTAGGACTGCATGAGATTAGAGGATATTATTTACTGTGAACGGAAGAGAATGGAGGAGGAGGCGGTCGTGGCCTATTTTAAGGTGCAATCTTGACATAGTTCTTTAACCGCTTCCTCTAGGCTAAAATTCAGCCGCTCGCCAGTGATTACATAGCGTCTTGTAACTTGTAACATAAATTTTGTGTTTTATGGCGAAACGTTCCGTTATCTGGCGAGACTTGTGAACTACGCAAACAGTTCTTGTCTCGCGTATTGATGACTTAAACCAGCTAATTTAACCAGATCTTTGTGGCTATGACTTGGATGTATCCTTCAATTAGAATAAGTTTCTTCGTTTATGACAACGGTGCTTTGCCATAGGTGTTTTATCGTAACTTCATATTCCTTTTTAAGATCATGAGCTGCAAATTATTATAGCTCCTCCCAGCTGCTTTTCCAGTGTCTGTTGGTGTACAAGTGTTCATTCGATTCTGGGTGTAACAGGATGTAATGAACTTTAGTCCCTACTGATTGTTCTTTATACAGTCTGGATTGATTTTTTTACATTAACAAATAGTTTTCAGACGTGAATATCAGGGGGTTGATTCCCGGCACGACTGCTAATTTGTATATATATACTATTTTATGTAGCTGTTCTTCTAAAATAGGAAAATTGCTACGTTGTAAATTCAGTCACCCAGTCTCTCACCTGATTGGTACCTGGGACCTCTTTCCTTGAATATAATGATAATATATTTTTTTGTTCCACGGAAGTTAATAGTTAGTATCGGATTATCTGCGGTCTGAGCGCTGTTGATTCGACAGGCTTGCCGCATGGCGGCGTTGTCATCGCCCAGCTGAGGCTGAGAGCCGGTTCACCGATAAGCTGTCGGTTGTGTATCTAGAACGATAAATTTTAATGTATATCTAACATCAAAATTCATTATAGGAACACTGTGTTTGACATCGTTATCTGAGAGTTTATTTGATACACTCGACGTTTCGATAGTTGGTTCTACGGCCATATTCACGTGATTGGTTGTCGTTGTGCTGAGGTATTTATGACGCTTTTATTTTTCGTGGCAACGGCTGGGATATAATCCGAGTTCTTTGGAATACAAGGTCAATACGATAAACACTATACTACCTGTGTGGTTAACGTGTTCGATTCCAACCGATGTCACTTGACAACCGATGGACTGAAGGCACGATTAAAGTCGTGTATATTAAATTTACTTCAAACAGTGGACTGTGTCTATAGTAATATTTGCAGAGTGAAACAGTTATTGTCACATAAATTTAGAGAACCACCAAAACTCCTCAAAATTTGTGAGGTGTTTTCCGAGGAACAAGTTCGTGTGGGCAATACGACTTTAATTATTATGCAAAATAAATGCTATTGGCTATTTGGTATAATAATAAATATTGATAAGATAGGAGGGAGGATGAATTTGTACGCATTTTTCATATCTTCCATGTGTACTACATGCCCCACCAATCACATTTCCCTATATTTACACTCAGTGATATTTGGTAAAGAGTACAATTATGAAGTTATTCATTATATAATTTTCTCTGTTTCCCTATTATTTCAACACAGCATGGATTAAAATATTTTTATTAACATCCACTTGCTCCCGAAAATGTGAAAGATCAAACTTCACTTCCATGGAAAGGAAAAAAATGTAAAATCATATCTAGGATGAAGACTGTCATCTGAGTTATTTATTGCGACGTGTAGTCTGCCCTGATAAGTGCCTCTGAAACGTCGGTGAACTTCTATCGGACTCTAGGCGTAACAACCCAGAAGACAGCTTGAAATCGCACTATTATTTTGTGTACCTTATTTGTACTTATGCGTACATGGGAGATGGTAAACAAAAGATTCTAAACTGAACGGTAGCATGCGTTCTCCATATCGAATCTAATTTCCTGCGGAATGTAATGTCGTTCTCAAATGTTTGGATATTTTCAAAGGATTTGTCACTTCCGATTCACGCAGTTTGAAAAATACTGTTACAGACGTTTTCTGTTGTTCCTTTTCCGTGATGTTTGTTGAGCGAAAGGCAGCCGGAATGATTTTTTCCCTCCCCAATCGTACACAATGGAGACGATTCATCTGTGCTAAATACATGTGGCAGGGGGTGTTGAAGAAGCAGCTGCCTGCTCGTGATGGAGCTTACGACTGGTTTACGACCAGAAAGGACCACTCCAATACAGGAAGAGAGTTGACAGAAAAGGCCCCGGCATTTGGCTATAAACGAGACTCTTCCATTCTACTGTCTTCAGCTTACCTTTTCCCTGACAACTATGGTAAACCAGACAAGCAATAAAACCATTAGCCCAACTTAATACATGCGGGTTAGATTTCCGATGTAATTACATTTCTCTATTGATTGATTTGGTCATGAATATCAGCTCAGAAAGTGACTATCCAGGATTCTAATTCAGAGCTGATTCATCGTAATAACTAAGGTTACGCACACTCTGTAAGCGTTTTCATGCCAAATTAAGTTCACGCGGTTTTCCGCGAGTTGAAAATTACGTTTGTATGGACGTGAATTCGCGCGAAATTCACTGCAGCATAATCGCAGTCATAGGCATTAACGGCACACCATGAAAGTGTTCAGGGTAAGATTTCAGGTTCTCACGGTTATGAATTTACAGATGACGGATCTTCTGGAATTTTGTTCTGTGTGGTTTGACAGTTATTTACCGACGTTTGGGAGGTTCTTACTGCCGTCATCATGAAGACGATTAAACGCTAGTTAATATGTACTAGACTGCATGGTGCAACATCCCTGAAGACTGACATTTCTATCCACTTCACTTACTGGGCTTGGCATTCAATGCCACTCTAAGATTCTACATTACCTTTCTGTTGAGGACATTATTAATTTTGCTTCATCAGAAAGCTATGTACACACCACGTTATCTGCTTCAAGGCCAAAAGTACAGTGAGGATCACAAAGGGTCGTAACGAACTTCAACGTGTATGCTCTTAAAAATTGTTTCTCAAATGGTCACGAAATTTCTCCCTTCATAAAACCCGGTGATTCGTTATCACGCTCGTAACAGCCTGTCATTGTATCTTATCGAGTCACTTGAATCTAGGCCACAACCTCACACCATGTTACTCTAAGATATATTTTAATATTATCTTCATATATGTGCCGAGATTTCCTAGGTGGTCCCCACATTTGAGAGCTTTCGGACTAAAATTCTGTATGTTTTTCTTATCTACCCAGTGGATGTCAGATGTCAGAATAATCATCACGGCTGAGGTTCGTAATGGACACCTTCCGGTTAAATGTCAAGAAGCGTTGTCGCTTAATCTAATGTACTCCATATGTTCACTATACTCCGAAAAACGTGGTTCGATTACTGTGAAATACAGATTTGAACTTAGTGTCTCATGGCTTTTCGAACTTTGGTTATCGTTACGGTTGTAAGGAACAACGTTCATTCAACCATGACATGTGTTCTACGTCGCAACGTCGTCGTCTGATCTTTCTTTCTTTCTTTCAATGGACGACATCCGACCCTGTCGCTTGTTTGGTTAAAGTCCTTTCATTATCATGAAAATGAGAGCACGTAAATCACAGTCCCGTTAATTGCATAGCTCAGGTCGTGCCATAGCAAGCTACAGTTTTCCAACAAAGTAACCCACTAGCACCGTCTTCAAAATACGATACGCGTTCAGCTGGCCACGACACTCCACTTTTAAGAAACACGAAAGTTCGACACCGGCTCACCACTAGACATTTCTGAGCAATAGCCTCACCATCTATTTCTCTAAACAATGTTTCCCATAGATTCTAATCTTAAGGTGTTTCAACCAAAATCTTTTACTTGTTTCTCATTTCCACCATAAAGTAACTTTAAGATAGCTTCCATTGGTTGACATTCTTATTACTTATTTCGAATCTTCAGGATGTAGACCATTACTGTATAGTTTATTTGTTGTTTAACTAAAAC